CTCTCTCTCTCTCTCTCTCTCTCTCTCTCTCTCTCTCTCATTTGTAGATTTCAGCTTAAACTATATTGGCCAAGAAACAGTTTTTTACTTGTCGCTTGTTAGTCAGTCAGAGCCTTTCCATATGAGGAATCTGCTCGAGAAGAGAGAGAACAAAGGGGTAAGAAACGAAAACAAGTCCATTATCTTCTCCTGAGCTCAAAAGAAATGTCATCGCTAGCTTATATTCGGCAAACCAGTAATCAAACTTCAGTTCCTGCGTGACAATAGTTTGTTATATTCGCCAGCATCTGTTCATAAACCTCTCATGTGATATTAGTCCTCTCTCTCTCTCTCTCTCTCTCTCTCTCTCTTTTTATTGCGAGGGATGACTATTGACGCTTGATATATCATTGAAATTCTTCTTCCTATAGGTCCATGAACAAGAAAGTGGAAAATAAGGTAAGGTTTTGTGGTGTGTGAGAATTTTGATGGTCTATGCAACAAAATAATTCCGGAGTATTTGAATAACTTACATTCGGCTAAGTAGTGTACAGCTAGTAGTAGTAGTAGTAGTAGTAGTGGAAATTTCATGTTGCAGCATTTCTTATCTCAATCTTTTAACTCCATTGTTTTGGTTCTATAATATACAGGTTAATGTTCCGAGGGACAATTTGTTGGACAGTGTGAGAGTAAAATGTGAGTGTTGCTCCAGTTTGCTGTGTGCGAGTTCAGGTGTTCAGTTTCAGAAACTCCCTCCTCAAGATATCCAGGTTCTAGTAATCATTCAACATAGTAATGATTCTATGATATTACTGAGTACTAAAATTCCAAGTTTTGGATTTCTGGGGATCCATGTTAAAAGATGAAAGCTTGCTTATCTGATCTCGGTATATTTTGTTGCTGTTGTTGTTGTGAGGGAAAGAGGCTCAATAATAATACCATATAAAGTTTGCAGTCTTTGTTTATTTCATTTCACAAACAGAAACTCTGTTGTTGTGCACAAGACAGAAGGCATACAACATAGGGAGATATTTGGTGATATTAACTGAAATCATAAAAATAGTAGCAGTGTTTCACTTTATTTCTTGAGGTGACTTGATCAGCCTTGCCATTTCATGATAAAAGCTTAATTTTGGAGAACAGCTGCAGAATCACAATGTAGGGTCTCAAGGTCTTCACATGGATTGTGGATCTTCTTCTATGTGTGCCAACATGAAAACGATGAACTCCATGAGGAGTGTTCAGCAGCAAATGCTACAAATTCACCGTAAGTTCGCTCACATAAGTTGACTGTAATTATTCTAAGATCAACATCATTTGCTGACTCTACTATATTTTCAATATGATTCCGAGATCAGCAGCCGAGAAGAGACAACGCGTTCCTTCTGCCTATAACAGATTCATCAAGTGAGCACTTTTGACTTGTTTTCTCAAGGAAAGAAGAAAAAACATGGATATTACTCTAAACACAGCTTCAATTCTTCCATTAAATCGTTCCAAATGCTAGTGATGCGCATTTGACTGATCTCTTTTCTCCACAGGGAGGAGATAAGAAGACTAAAAGCTACTAATCCAGACATCAGCCATAGAGAAGCTTTCAGCACTGCAGCAAAAAATGTAAGGAGTTCTTTATGTTGTAAGGTCACTGAGCTTCGTTGAATCTGGAATTGAAATGGGCATAAAAGAGTTTAGGAGTCTGTGATGGTGTTGGCGATTGAGAAGGGAAGTAATACCACTCGAATTTTAGGGTTTGGATTGGAAGAGCATTTACCGCAAGTTATGCTGCTTCTATGGTTAAGGAAATAGGAGCTGCAGAACATTTGGAAGTAGTATGGACTAAGTAGACAGAAGAACAATGAAATATATCGGACCGAGTGTATTCTCCAACAACGATATATCAATCTGGTTATATAATTTGGTTCAGATTTTAATATGTACAGCACAGAAACAATTCACAATATTAATATATAGAATGAACATCTATCTATATATTCAGACGATTTCAAGCTCTTTTCTCAGTTCAATGATTGTCTTTTAGGGGGTCATGCATTGATCAGGTAAAAGAACATTATACAAGACATAGACACCATAGAACAAATTATTATGATCAAACAACGCCTCTACTTTTGTGCATGAAACATGATGTGAAATCCTGATCTACTCAAATCACCATTTTTGTTTGCAGTGGGCGCACTTGCCTAGCATTCATTTCAAGCTCTCCCTTCAAAGGAACAAACAACTGTGACGGGATGATCGTCTGGTTGGCTTCATACAAAAGAACGGTCGTCAATGTGGGATGATTGCTTCTTGCGTTTCATCGATAATAAAGCTGGTTTAGTTTGATTTACATATGGAGAGCTGTGTTAGGCCTCCTTGTGATGCTGTTGTACTCTATGATTGCACCATGTAAAAGATGGGTGGGAGGACGGTTCCATTGATTACAGTGTTAACCATATCATATTGTTGAGTTATGTAAGGTCAGCCAGGCGTGTTGATGTAGGATTAGAGAGAGTGGATTTTTTTATGAGAGAAATAGAAAAGTAATATAATAATTTAAAATATCATTAAAAAAATGAATAATGATCAAACTGTTAGGTTTTGCACCTTCTCACACTTAGCTGGAGTCATAACATCAGAGCATAACTGTGATCTCGGATCGCTCACACATACATGAGCTTCCTTATAATAATATTCTAACCTCTTAATAGACTCAAGGATGAAAAAAAAAAATCATCTTTATTAAAATATTCAAACCCCCTTTTATAGGCTCAAATATAGAATAAAATAATATAAAGATATAAAAAATTACCATTTTATCAAATCAAAGATATATTGTTTCCTTCGAAAAAATGTAATAATTATGACTTGATTTTAAAAATATTTTTTTTATGATCAATTTTTATTTTTAAAATGAATCAAAATTCATAATCTTCAATAAAAATAATCTAATTTATTATAATTTTTTTAATATTTATGTAATACCTTTCTCCTAGTTACACTCGTACCCTATGTGCATGCATGATTAAAGTAGGATATCGCATTTCAATTTTCATTACTAAATTGATATGAATATAATGAAAAGTAACAATCTTGAAATTAAAGTAACTTGGGCTCTCTTACTACAAGTCTACAACTCGTAACACTCTACTCCTAGTTTCACCTATACCCTACATATATGCAATTTTACATCACATGTCATAATACATACGTGCATTGAACGTCGTAACATATCTGTGCACTCTCACACCACACATCATAGAAAACACACATGCACTCCCGCACCACACATCATCATATATGTATATATACAAGATATTTTTATCATAATTCATATATTTTTATACTTACAAAATACATCCATTCATATTTAGCTCATGATGGTCATATCCATCTAAACGTACTTTCCAAAATATATTATGAATATGATAATATATGCGACCACTATTTTGTAGTGAATTAAACTTACACTTGCCTGATTAAACTAAAAAATAACAATACTAATGAAAGTTCATGTTCCTTAATGATCAAGTGTGCTAGGGAGCAATGCACCTATCAAATTGAAAGCATAGAGTTATGATATGTCTTAATTAAGGATCTTACCTATTGAATTATTGATCGATAATAATTCATTACAATAATCCATAGAAAAAAATTGATAAAATCTCCCATAAAATAAATTATACTTAACCTACAAATTTATTTAGATTCCACTATCAATTTTCAACAATTCACACTATAAACAAATGAACTAGTTACTATCAATTAAATTATCATACAATTTTACGAAGAAATTTTGCTCAAGTATTCTAGCTGACCAAACAATCTTGTCATGAAAATTTACAAAACACTAGAAGACATATAAAATAAAATACACAACAAATTTTAGCTTAAAATAAAATTATTTGGAGACTAAATTATTCTTCTAATTCAACTGCCAGCACCTATTCTATTCTATTGAAACTGGGTTTGGACTGTCTGAACTTATAAACCCATATCTTGGTGTACAGAGGTGGTACTTACTCAATTCTAAATCTCACAAAACCTTAAGAGAACCTTTTAAAATATATCAAAAGATCATAGTCTAATCATATCCTTAAGGGGGTTAATTCGGCTTGAACAAAATATTTTCTTAGAAAATAAGAGATTTTAAGTATCTCAGATTGAGACTATAATAACTCTATGCACCGATCTTAGATTAAGGTTATACTTGTGGCTTTAGAACCACAAGAGAATCATTTAAAAATATTGAAAAATCAAAGATAAATTTAATGTTTAGGTTACTCAAAAGTAGTTGGAAAGATCAACTTGTAATATGTAAAACTAAACCCCAAGTATAGCAAGGGAAGAGTTGAGTTTATTTTATCTCAATCTTTCTTTGAGCTAGGGTTTTATAGTCTGCTTGAGAGAAGCTAAGAGTGGTTGCAGAAGAAGAGAAAGGATCATGGGTTATCAGGTTGGTAAAGAGGATGAGACTAAATTATAGAGATGCTTAAGATGTTACCTTATGGCCTAGGGGTTAATCTCATTAGGCCTCATTTAAAGTTTTTTTCTCTTTTCTTTTTTTCTTCTTTTACTAATATAATTAAAAGGTTACAGTAACCTCAATTAAGTTTAATTTGATTTGACAAGAATGATATTTTTTATCTAAACTCATATTTCAATCTTACTTATGTATCTCAACATTTAGTATAGCACACCTCTTTGATTTGCATCTTTGTTTATTTTTTCATTACTTCATCCATGTCTATTATCCTCTATATATATTATATATATGAGGTTTAAAATTTAAACTTTTTTACTTTAATTATGTTCAAACTCATTCAAGCTTCAGATTCACTTAAGGTCGATTACAATTCAATCATCACTTTTAGTCATGTATACTTATTTTTATAACTTAACATCATATTAAAGTTTGCTAGCTAGCACACTTTGGCTTGTTGTGCTATGCTTAACATAAATATTAGGGTTTGTGCATGCTTAATTAATGTTTCGTAAAACTAAGAATGATATTTTTGGAAGACATATACTTCAATCTTAAAAGTTGAAAATAGGAGCACATCATTTATCATATTCATGAAACTTAAATATCACAAATCATATATCATGAAGTGAAGGTAAAATATACAATTTATTTGTATTTCTATTAATATGTTAATTGTAATTTAATGTGTAAGACTTAGACATTACTATTTTTTTTTATCATTGAGTAAATATTATCATATGACAACTACAAAATTTATCTATTCTAATTAAATTTATTTTATTAATAAACTAATTAGATTGCTCCTGCATTATATATCATCACATACATACTTGATGACAAGATGTTCAAACTTTCAGCGGTGAAAATTTTTTATTGATCACAATATGTTTTGGAGCTTAAAAAGAAAATGATTTATCGTAGTGTTTTCTCTGTAAACATATTATACAGCATAAAAAAGATAAATACATCAGATTTTAATGTCAATCAATAGTCTACAAAAGACACGACGAATTCAGAGATTAAATTGCATGCTTTGAACCTCCCACCAATCTCGATACCTAATTCAATAGTCTACAAAAGTCACACTTGTTGTATACAACGCAGTAAAACCTTGTGCCATAGAGAGATGGCATATTACATTTAAAAACAGACAACCTGTGTGTTTAAACTAAAATCTTAAGCTTATTTTGAACCCATGAGTTTTTGGAGCAGAATCAACACATGGATTTAGTAACATTATAGATGGTCAATAAGTTCTGGTGCTGTCTTTGAGGAGACATCTCAGTGGTTCGCAAATTGTATAAAAAAAGTGCTATAGAGAGATTTTAGTTTAAACTAAAATCTTAAAACCTTGTGCTATAGAGAGATGGCATATTACATTTTAAACCTTCTGAATACATGAGCTTAAGATTTTATAACTCATGATTCAAAATAAGTTCATAGGAAATGGCTAGGTATTTAAACTCGAAGTTGGCATGCAATTTCTCATGGCCATGATGACATTAAACCACAAACAGAGAATTGAAAAACTCTAGTCGAGATTCTTGCATTAAGTATTTTAGTGTAAGCTTCGAACCATGGTCAGTTTACATAGTATAAGCTTGGAACCATAGTCGATTTGCTCCCTTATCACCTGTGTGTTTTATAAGCCTAATAAAAACAACCTCTGTACTGATGTAAACACAGACTCTCACCATACCTAAGCATTGACAATTACCTTGTTGTTGTGCTATGCTTTACTAAAAACGTCAACATAGCTTCAAAACTACATTTTAGTGACAGATGTCTCAACTTTCAACATTATGTTACAAGTATGCAACTGACTTCAGGTCTTTCATACCCAGTCAGAAGATATTTTACACAACTTCAATTAAAATATGATGGCCAAAAGTTAATGCATTACCTTGGCTGTTAAATCTGAGATTGCCAATTGGAACTTCTCTCTTGTTCTGGAGCCTGCAATATGGCCAGCCTTTGCCACCTTTCCAAAAGCACCATTTAACCAAGCAATTCCAGCAGTTACATACATAGACATTTAGAAAAAAAATAATTGAGCAATTCCAACACTGGTATGAGATTCAAAGTTTCTATTATATCCATTATGAATCCATGGTTAAAGGAGCACAACTAACAAAATAATGCGAAAGAAATTATATCCACCAAAATATTTAGCCTAAGTTCAGGAAACCTGGATGGCCATATCATCTTCATAAGATATTCCCTGGACATGGAATGTACTATAAAACCACTGCTGTCTTGAGTTGAATTAAATAAAAAGATTCCAGTCAAAATTTTCATAGTGATATCCAAGATTATATGGTACAATGTACTTTATTTGGCAATTTCAGGATGTCGAACACGATTGATAACAATATATGGATAAGTGGAACAACAGCGGAGAACTGTAGAGTGGTATTAACAGGCTGATAAACTTGTTTAAAAAATCAACAAAATATACCTGGTGCAAGGATAAATCAGCAAACAATAACCTACTCTTGGAAAAATAAAAGTCACATGGTGCTTAAATGACAGGACAGCAAGAACAAATATGTTGTTCAGCTGCAAAGAAGAAAAAGTGAGGACTTGTTCCACTATCATAATCATTAGTAGAAAACAGATTTTCACAACCAGAATACTCGTAATATAGCAGACAATATTTTTCTTTCATCAATTTAAGAAATCTTAAAATTGTTAAAATATATGGAAAAGGCTTTATGTGCAGATGATACAAGTACCTGTTAGTCTTGACATTAGCACCAGTGTCATTCAGTTTCCACTCTGCTGCAATTAGGGCCGCAATGGTTTTATCAGACACATGTAGCTTTTCATCCACAGATTTCACTTTTTCATTGACAATAGAGATTCCTGCTGTTATTTTCTCTGAAAGGCCAACCTGCCTATCGAAAGAAGTAACCATTGCAGTTTCACTAGCCCTAGTCGATGCTTCTCATCAAATGCTTTAGCCTT